CTCGTCACATTCCAATTTGAATGATACCGCAAAGTCTAATTGATCAAAAGGGAAATAAGTCGAGTCACCTCCTTTTCAAAGGGATTAACGAAAAGGAATCATGGGACGTGAACATCCTAAAAAGGACCACGACTCGAATTTGAAATTTGTATTAGTTGGGTCGAAAAAGAATGAAGAAAGTAAGTGGAAGGAGCGATTAACGACTGAAAATGGCTCAAATCTACACAGCATTCAAGTTCGACCTACATCGAAGAAAGAAAAAAGTGGGAACTCGAGTTAATTAATGCCAAAGTGAGAGAGAAAAAAATTGATTTCCAGGACGCTTTTCGGTTCGTAGAACGGCTACCGGGAATTGTTTTCGATGGTCCAGATTTTTCCTTTTGAGTTTTAAGTATCTGAAGTTTTATTTTTGTCTTGTGATGATTGAGAACTCCCACGGTGAAAGTGTAGGATCTTGTGAAAAATTTAACAAATAAATAGAAAATGGCTTTGAGCTAAGATAACTTGTTGTATTATTTATATGAACTATTCTACAAAATCAATTAATTAATTTTTATATAAAAAAATGCAATCGAAACAAATTGAATTTATTTAACAATAACAATATTCTTTCGTATAACGATGTAGATAATTGACGGTAAGGGGGTAATTACGGATAGATAAATTCTTCAAGATTAAAAAAACCGACCGGAAATGTCGGGGTCATGACATACATTCGTTAAAAATCAAACTCGCTCATCGTAGTTACGCGGCAGAAGGCAGGGATGATTTTCCTTAGGAAGATGAGCGGGGGGCATCTTGCTTTAGAAAATTAATATTAGACTGTGGAACGACGGTAGCCTAGTTATTAGGACCTACGAAGCGCCCTTTCAAACGAGGGGGTGGTGCCGCCCATGATTCGGGGTTGTAACAAATTTTCCACGTCCGAAGTTCCTTCCATGAGATATTGTAACTTTCACACGCTTGATCAAAAGATATCGAATAGTTAGTATGATTTTTAAAATATATCCTTAATTATTTATATTTACACGCGTAGTCGATATAATATATTTAATTGTTACATTTATAATAAATTTTATATTTATCTTGGGCTCACTTAAAAAAGAAAGAAAAAAAAAGCAAAGAAAAATAACGCAATACATTCTCCATTTTTAAGGATTTATTCGCTGCCAAACAAATGCTTTCGACCGAAGCGAATTCTCGCGGTCAGATTTTTATATTAATTTTACCTCGTAGGTGTAAAAAATAGAAAAAAAATAGGATCTGTTGCGATTGAGGCCGCCGGCAATTCGTCCGACACTGAAAAGAATAGAAGGGAAACAATCGTGCGCTCTTTTCAAAAACAATTCGTGTATTGAAATTGGGGATACAATGGAGTTTTTAATGTTGAACACTGGGGAGGAGTACCCTATGAAACAACGAACCAAGAGAAAAAGAAAAAGAGAAAGAGAGAGAGACAGTGGTGGTTACAAAGTAACAATGCGGCACCCTCCTGTGTGACCGACAGGATCCTTTCGATCAGCAATAAGATCCCATTTTCTTAGCGTTGAACCAATTCCGTGCCGCTTGATTCTTTCATAATGAAACATAATTAAAACGAAGAATCTGTGAGAAAACTGGTATAAATATTTATTTCCCAAACAATTTTTCGAATTATTCGAGATAAACGAAATTCATGAAATCGAAAACGAAACGTAGTCGTCGATTGAAAGAACCGGTAAATTTGGCGTTAAAAAAAGCGCGTACTTTTAGCGTTAAGGTAAAATTACACGGTGCATCCTCGAAGAGGCGCCCCATATTCTGACGCTTGCCAAATTTCAGCGAGCCAAGGAACATACCTCCGTGATCCCCAGTGATTATCCACTTAAATCGTGAAGTCGCAAGCAATTATGTGGGGGTGCGAGGGTTAATTCGATAATTGCGATATTCCGTTGCGAGTAATTACCACCTATCCACGAATGCAAATCCCTTGAGATCTCGCCGCAATACCGAATTTAGGTACGATCGAAACTTTCCATATCATCCTCCCACGAGAAAGGTACCGACGAGCTTCCACTTCGCAACTAAGAACTATGAAAAGTGAAGACTTTTACTTCTGTTTTACTTTAAACACAATTTTAAGAATTTCATCGAAATTAAATGAAATCACAGTAAAATTGGATTATACAAATGAACTAATAATCTGATAAATAATTTAGCTTTTAAATATACATTTGAATAATAACAATAATAATACTAAAATATAAATGTTATAGGAGCTAATAAAGAGTCAAATATAACGCTTCTTCATTGTGTACTTGAAGCCCACTAAATTCTCTTTTTTAACGGACACGTGGCTGTAAGGTTTTGGTGTCGAGTCACGAATCGTTCTTCCGGAACGAAGACACTGATCCTGAAATATTTTTTATCAAACTTCCGAGGTAACATTGGTCGAGCCCGAATATGACTATGATTTCTATGAACAACGTTTAACGACGTTATTAACGATCAGGGATAAAGTGGTTACATACATTGATAATTGTAAGTTAATCAAAAATATTTTGATGAAAATAATTTGTAAAAAGAAAGAATGAGAGAAAAAGAAAGAGAGAGAGAGAGAGAAAATGGAGTCGAGTTGATTCGGTCGGTCGCCCAGACGAAGGCTAAAAAGAGGGGAGAAGCACGCGTCGGCCACGCTCCCCGTGCACACACCTGGGGCCAGTTGGCTAGCGAGAGGAGAGATGAGACTCCCTTTCCACTCTAGGCACAACCAATGTCCAATTATTAACAAATTATGATCGCGAAATTGGACATCTTCCGGAAATACGGGAACGAGCTCAAAGTATCCCGATCGTGTCGAAAACTTGCACTGTCGGTGCAAGGAACGAATAAAAGAATAGAAGGAAAGCACGAGCGGGATATTTGTTAGCGTGTTAGCTGTAACCTAGAGTGGAACGATGACACGCGACCGATATTTCGAGAAAACAATCAAATTACGTGACTTTTCGAAACTAACGAAATTTACACATTCATTCTTGCCCCTATGAGTGCGATTTTAACACTTCCAGCGCCAAGTGTATTTCACAGATAAAAAAAATACAACGAATTATTGCTCTAAGCGTTTTTATCAACCCCGTATACCGAAAAGTTGTTAGTCTTCATTTACTGGTAAACGTGGTACTCAAAGTGTTAAAACACGATCTTTCTAACATTTATCTTTTTATTCGAGAATTTATAATGCGTAGTTTTGAAAAGAACTCGTACGACGATATATTTAAAAAGAGGAAGTTAGAAGAAAATCAGTCGAGCGAATGTCCTTTCAATTTAGGTTCCAAACTCGGTTGAACGCAGTTCCTCTCATATAATGGGCTTCGTCAGTGTCATGATCATTTTGCAACGTTCCTTTTTCATTTTACAAAGATCGATGAATCAAAAGGAGATCAATATTAATTTGTCTTTTTAAGTATAAACAAGAATGCCGACAGGAAAGGTAATTTAACTCAAACATTCCTCGTAGTACATTAAAGTCACATTAACTAATGTCAAAGAGGAAAAAGAACGGTCTTCCGGTCCATTAGTTACGTACAGTTACACTTTACGACACGGAGATCACACAGGAAAGTTAGATTTTTCTCCCAATTTTGCGCTTTTCAATTATAGACAATCACTTTTAAAAATTCGTAGTAATTTACAAATAAATTATATACTAAAATATGATTACAAGTAAGTAAAAGAAAAAGTATTCCTACTAATTTGACAGTGACTTTGACTATGGATTCAACTTTATAATTGGGATGCATTAGACGAAAAGATTGAAAACTTCAATTAAAATGATTTCAATGCTATCTATTTTGATAGAGAGGAAAAAAAAGGGATAATGCGTTCTCATTTGAGAAGGATCAATGGCGCCGTCGATATATACGACTAGAGAAATAAAAAAAGGAAAATAGAAAAAAATCGAATGGGATCGCTTTATATATGAAGATATTAACGAAACCTCGTTCGGTCTCGCCATAAAACGTGCAAAAAAAAGGAGTAACGAATCGGTGCCGGTTTTGGCGCTCTCTAAAACGCCTGAATTCGGCGATCGTGCGCCTGATAACCCGGTTAACCCTACCAGCCCGTTATTATAATATTTGCCGAGCCGAAATATAGTAATTGCTTATTTGTTCGAGCCCAATTACCGCGTGGCCCGCGCACGCCCATGGATTCTCTACGCGGTACATAGTACCTTTACGTGTTTCCTTCAACTATACAGGGTGATTCTAATTGAACTGAGATAAACTAGCTTTAATGTTTTATCTTCAACAAAAACTAAAATAAATATTGCACAATTTTATGAAATTTAATTTTCAGTATACAACTATTTGTTTCTTACATGAATCAAAATATACCTGTGAGATTTAAATAGCTTGTTTTTTTTAAACACTATCATTTTTTTTTTCTTACATCAATTGATTCTTTTCATTTTAATTCATATATATTAAAATATTATATAAAGTAAAATTATGAAAAAAATTAATATTTTATCGAATGAAATATTCACAAATCTATTGTAGATTTATATTATTTTCCATTAATTTCTATGCAGTTATCGAAATCACCCTATATACCTATCCGATACTCGCTCGATTTAACCACCACCCACTTTTACAACTTCCATCTATATATTCCTTCTTTCCATCCTTTCTCCTTTCTTTTCTTTTCTCGGTTCCTTCCTTTTTTCTTCTCTTATTTTTCATCCACCTACCTACCTGTCCGTTTACTCCCGCCCTCACAGACGACTTGCCGTAACGATTAGGTTCGAACAATCAGATACAGCCGGATCGGCACGTAATGTCTATTATTGCGTTCGACGTCAAAATAACGACGCGTTAGTTTGAATGTTTCAGCGATATTCGACGTTTCCTCGACGGCGGAACGTGCTCACGCTTACTTTCTTTCTTTTGCGAATTACTGGTTTAACCAAAAGAAAGAAAGAAATCCAATCGTACAAGCAGAATGACTTTTTTTTACTTCTTTTAAAAATTTCTTTTTTATTAAACGAACCATAATATAAATATTTCATAAAAAGTGTTCTAAATCATCGGTTCGTATCTTCTCTTCCACAGCTCATAGAATCATATATGTCACTTATTATTCACTGATCATCAATTGTATTCATAATATAAAAATTAGTAGAGCAATTCCCAGTAATACATTGTAAAGATGATCATTTAAAATAAATAAACTTACATTTCTTAAACTTTGAAACGCATTATGATCTCACTGCATAAAAATTGATTTAATTCAGAGAAAATCAAACGTCCTTACATTTAGTCCATTCAAGGCTTCCATAACTTTAATAAACCATCTTCGCTATACGAGCATAACAAGTTTTGATGAGGATGATGCGCTAAACCGATCACGTCTTTATCGTGTACCTACAATCATAGAAAATCAACAAAATTTTTAGAAAGAAAACGAGGTTGTTTGTGAATTTTTTTTTATTTTATAATAAATTACTCACATTAAGAGTTCTCTCTAACTTGCCAGATGATGTGGAGAAACAATAAAGTACAAGATCTTCACCAACGCAGTAAATAAATTCACCGCGTGGACTTACAACAGTGCATACGAAATCTCCACCTTCTCTTTTACCGCTGGAAAATGACCTTACTATTTGTCCTTGCATATTCATAATAACCACAGTATTTGATCGATTGCAAACAACAAAATGTTCTGGATTTCTTGGAAGAGGATGTACACTGTTAACTGTTAAATCGGCAGCACCTAAAGATTTGTAAGTTCCTATGCATTCCGTTGTCTTTAAACTCCAAACCTTTACTGTACCATCTGAGGAAGCACTAGAAAATCAAAAATATTAATAATTAGTATATACATGTAATAATTAACAAAAGAATTATATAAGCAATTATTAATACCTAATAATATTATGACCATCAGGCGCAAACACAACCTCATTGACAAATGAAGTATGTCCTCGAAATTCCTTAAGTGTTTTACCAGATTTTAATCCATGTATTCTAAAAATAAGGAAAATAGAGTAATAGTAATGTAAATGTTTATATAAATGTTTAATATAAACTAGCTTTCATTTACCTTATAGTGGTGTCGAATGAAGCTGACAAAATCTGACTATTATCTCTGCTAAATTGTAAACAAGTAACCCCTTTTGAATGTGCTTTTTCAAATCTCCTTAAACATTGACCACTTTGTACTCTCCATACTTTAATTTTTCCATCTTGTCCACCACCTGCTAACATTTCACTGTCACGGCTAAATGACATTGATAAAACAGCTTGCTCCATCATCATAAAATTGTCTTGAGCTTGATATTTCAAATCTTTTCTTATTTTTCCCGTTGTGAAATTCCAAACTTCTATAAAACCATCTACAGAACCGGTGACCAAATATTGACCATCCGGTGAAAAACGTGCACATTCTACGTGTGATTTTTGTCCAAATTTGATTTGCTTTGACAACTGCGTAGGATATTTTTCATCTTCTTGATCTCTCACTGCTGCTTTTCCTCTAAACAAATCTATCGTTGTACCTGGTGGTAATAAACCTTGATGCTGTTGCCATTTTAACGCTTGACCCAAAAGAGCGAGTAATCTGCTAGAAGGTACTACGGAAACTTCTCCTGCAAGGGCAGTTGCTATATATGCTCTTCTTTTCTCTTTTGTACTTCCATCTGGATAAGCCTCACGTGGATCAAAATATGACCGAGCAAGCAGATTCTCTAGATGTATGTATCTTTCAGGTTCTTGCTGTTTCATCATAATCATAGGATCCGTTTGTCTTAATAAAGAACGCGCTGCTCCCAATTCTCTCAATTCAATTAATTCTAAAACAACCTTTAATACAACATAATGAGATTATTTATTATTATAAGATTATTTATTAATTAATTATATATTTAAAGAAATAATTTACCTGCTCATACAAATCTATGAGCTTTTTATCAGGTAGCTTCAAAGATTGTATAGCTTTGAGCACTGTGTCCCAGTGACCATTATTTATGTCAGCTACAAATCCATCTACACTGTCCACTGTATTGAGCGATACTCCTGTTTCCTCCTGTGTGTATTTCGTTAGAATCGTATATAAATATATAAATAAAATAAATAAAATGTAAATTAATAAATATATTAAGTCAAATACCTGTAGGGTTTGTAATGTTTTTACTAAATTTGCTTCCTTCAAATATTGTTGTATCAAACGAATAACACTGAAAAAAAAAACAAATATGATATAATATATTTATTCATGTTATAATAAATAATATCTCTCAACATTATAAATATATTATTTACTCGGCAGATTCTATTTCAATAGACATTGTATATTTGAAAAATAATTAACATTAAAACAGATTGTTTTTGGTTATGTTATGTCAATAAAACACAACGAACATTCAATCATAAATGTAGTCAATATATCCAGACGGTAAAGTAGGATAAGACTAGATATACCAGATTACCGTTCAAAGGTCTCTTCTGATTGGATTATACTGTTCCTAATAAACCAATGAAAATGCACCATATTATACTAAACGTACTATATGAAGTTATCATTTTTAATGTGCGATAAAATATCATGAAAGTCAAATTTTTATTTAATAGTTTATTTAATAAAATATAATTTAATTTTTATTTAATATAAATTAATTATTTTATTAAATTATTTGATAAACTAATATAATATTTTATATTATAATAAGTCATTGTAACTAAACAATTATCAAAAAAAAAAGATGAAATAATAATTATTATTTAAATTCTATAAAAGTGTTCTCGACAAATTAAAAAATTTATATAAAATAAATTGAACCTAAAAAAAATATTCGATAGATTAGAAATCAAGAGAAATTATTGCGACTTACTTCACGTATTTACCATCATAAGATATATGTACATATATATATATCACATATATATCAAAACACATTTAGATTTTTCTTTATAAAATTTGAAATAAAATTTATAAAATGTTTTTGACACGTTTAATGAAATGTCGTGTACTTCATGTACCTTCTCAATCTTTATTCTTCAGGTACGATACCAACTGTACTGCACACATACATATATACATACACATACATGCATCACATGCATTTTCTCTCTATATCACTTCGTCATTCACATATAACCCATATGAGTGATCATTAAGTTATTTCATATTTCATAAATGCTTTCGTGTTCTCTTTATTATTATTATTCGTGTTAATATTTTTGAGTGAATAATAAAAGCATGTTTAAGAAAAATTTTAATTAATTGATTATATAAATAGTATTAAATAATAATTATCAATCGTTTCAATGCATATTTTCGATTATTTAAATTTGTTGTCATTCAAATAAAACTATATAAATAAAAAAGTGACTACTTTAAAGGGTCTTTTATTTATGATCATTTTAAATAATTAACATAATTCTTAAAACAACTATTTGCTTTTAATATTCTACTTTTAAATAATAATTGCAATAATGTTATCCCATGAGGATTTAAATGAAAATGAAGAGGCTTTGCCAACAGAAATTGGTGTTTCTGAGTAAGAAAGTATTTATTAATTATATTATATCAACATAATATGCATAAGTATAGTAGTACAATATTATATACTTTTTTTACTGTATTCACGTAAAATTAGACTATATTCTATCATTGTTTTTAGAGCTAATTTACCAGAGAATAAAGCTGCATCATTATCATCAAGTATGTCAACTACGTTAATTGACGATTATATTGAAAAACGATATGAAATTAACAAATCATCAAACGATAAAAGATCATATAGAGGCTTATTATTGTCTAATCATATGAAAGTAGTATTAGTAAGTGATCCAACGACTGATAGAAGTGCTGCAGCTATGGACGTTCATATTGGTAATGATCATAATTTGTATGAATTCATTATTTGTATGCATAATATATTTTTGTTTTTATTTGAAGGTTACATGAGCGATCCTGACGATTTACCAGGCCTAGCTCATTTTTGTGAACATATGTTATTTTTGGGAACAGAGAAATATCCTCAAGAAAATGAATATAATATGTTCCTATCTCAAAATGGTGGTGCCAGTAACGCTATTACTTGTATGGATCATACTATTTATTATTTTAGTGTTACTCCAGATAAATTAAAAGATGCATTAGATCGTTTTGCTCAATTCTTTACGAATCCATTATTTACTGAATCGATGACAGAATTAGAAATTAATGCAATCCATTCTGAACACGAAAAAAATGTAAATAATGATGTATGGCGCATTCGTCAAGTAGAAAAATCATCGGCCATACCTAATCATCCATACTCTAAATTTGGTACTGGTAATAAAGAAACATTAGATACTATACCAAAAAAGAAAGGTATAAATGTTAGAGAAAGATTACTTGAGTTTCATAACAAGTATTATTCGTCTAATATTATGTCTTTATGTATTCTTGGAAAAGGTATGTAAATATAATATAATATTATTTTTTTTTAAATTAGACTATTTGCTTATTAACGCTATAGATAATACGTACCATTATAATGGTTTCCCACTAAGTATGGAAAACCATTATAGCGACTATATAAAAATAATATAAATTATTTAATTGTTATTTCATAATAACATAGATATAACTAAATATATAATTAAAGCATCAAAATATCGATTGCTACACTAATTTACTTTATATACACTCCGCAGTACTTCTATAATTAATACACATTTCAATATAAAACAAGCTATCTATACAGTGATAAAACTACAAAGCTAACTCTGCCATAATAAAAATGTTAAGTTACATATTTTTTAATATGTAATTTAACATTTTAAATTTATTAATTAGAGAGCTTGGAGGAACTTGAAAGGATAGTTGTAAATCTATTTTCTGAAGTGAAAAACAAAGAAATAGAAATACCAGTGTGGTCTGAAGAACCTTTTACTGAAAATGATCTTGCAAATATATGGTACATTGTACCGATAAAAGATACACGAAGTTTAAATATGATATTTCCTATTCCTGATTTGCGAAAAGATTATAATGCTGCGGTAATCAAAATACTTACTTGAATACGTTCGTATTCCTATGATCATATTTTTCTAATTTATTTTTATTTTTCAGCCAACACATTATATATCACATTTATTGGGACATGAAGGAGCAGGTTCATTACTTTCATCTCTTAAAGCATATAATTGGTGCAATTCTTTAGTAGCAGGTAGATCACCATCTCCTAAAGGTTTTAGCTTTTTTCAAATTTCTGCTGATTTAAGTGTAGAAGGTATTGATCACATTGATGATATTATCATGTTAACATTCCAATATATTAATATGCTTAAGGAAAAAGAACCAATTAAATGGATTTATGAGGTATAGACAAAACACATTTATTTATATTATATTTTATATAACATTTCCAACTTGACTGTAAGATATATCTTTATTTGTAGGAATATAAAAGTATTGGTAATATGAATTTTCGATTTAAAGAGAAAACTTCACCGCAATCATATGTGAGTTGGATTGCACAGGGATTACATCTGTATGATATGCAAGATGTTTTAACTGCAGAACATCTTTTCTTAGAATGGAAACCTGAGTTAATTACTCATGTAATGGAATATCTAAAACCAACAAATATTAGAGTACATGTAGTTGGAAAACACTTTAAAAAGTTGGCTAATCAATCAGAAAAATGGTATGGAACCAAATTTAAAAAAGAAAAAATATCATTAGAATTAATTGAACGATGGCAAAAATGTCCGCCTAACTCAGATCTAGCATTACCACTTAAAAATGAGTTTATACCAAGCATATTTGATCTAAAAGAATTACCAGCCGATGTATGTAATAATATTGATTTTTCTTTTTTTTTTTTACACATAAGTATAAATATGATTATATATATTCTATTACATAATAATTCGTTTTTTTACTTTTAGTCAAACAAATATCCTGTAATTGTAGAAGATACACCATTATTAAGAGTGTGGTTTAAACAGGATGACGAATATTTAGTACCAAAAGCTAATATTATGCTTAATTTTGTAAGGTAACATTTTCTCCAAATAATATTATTTTATACAAATTCATATTATCGTTTTTATATATAACTTTTTATGTTTAATCCACAGTCCAATCGTATGCTTAGATCCAGTTAATTACAACTCGTGTTTAATGTACGTTCGTTTGATTCGTGATTCTTTGGCTGAGTATGCATACGACGCACAATTAGCTGGTCTATCATGGGAAATAAACAACAGTAAATACGGAGTTGTAGTAAGCTAATTTTTGTTTATTATTTTAATTTTATTTAAAATATATTATTTAAAATTATTTATATTCACACATAATAGTCTAATTTTTTATTAGTATATTATTAGTTACATATCATCACATAGGAGTTTGTTTTTTTATGATAATATAATAAAACTAGGTAGTCATTTTGCATAGTTTGGTAATAATAGTCATCATTAATTATGTTATTAGCTCTCGATTGAAGGCTATGACCACAAACTAAGTGTCCTGTTAACTAAGATCATAAGTAGTATGGTCAACTTCAAATTTGCACCAGAACGATTTGAAATTTTGAAAGAAAATGTATGTATATTAATAAATATTGTAACAACATTAATCACAATATGTTTAATGTAATATTTTAATTTTAGTATATTCGAGAATTAAGAAATTTTAACACTGAGCAACCCTATCAACATGCAGTGTATTACCTTGCTGCTTTATTAGTTGAGCAAACATGGATGAAAGATGATTTATTAGAAGCAGCAACTTCTCGTAAATGCATATTTATCAATTATTTTATTATAAATTTGCCATATTAATTCTATGTTTTGATATATCTTAATTTATTGTCTATTATCTACATATATATATATTTGTTTTTTTCAGATTTAACAATTAAACAATTAAGCACATTCTTACAATATTTCTTAAATAATATACATGTAGAGTGTCTTGTACATGGTAATTATACGAAGTCAGAAGCCATTGATTTGATTCGCATAGTTGAATCAAGCTTAGGAAATAATTTGCCACATATGGTAATACTTTCACCAAGGCAATTATTAGTCAAACGTGAACTTAAATTAGAAGATGGTAATATACAATTCATCATATCTGATTTAATGATAATATTAATTTGATCATACTTTATTCTATTTGCAGGGTGTCACTTCTTATTCGAAATAGAAAATAAATACCACAAAAGTTCTTGTACTGAAATATATTACCAGAGTGGTATGCAAACAACAAATACAAACATGTTGATTGAACTTTTGGGACAAATCATTCAAGAACCATGTTTCAATATTTTAAGAACTAAAGAACAGCTAGGATATATTGTATTTGCTGGTGTAAGAAGATCAAATGGTGTACAGGGAATGAGAGTTATCGTTCAA